CCTCTGAGAGACTCATTTTCTTCTTAAGCTACAAATAAGTATAACCGTTTTAAAGAGCTTAAAATTTCCTATGGAATGAGCTATCTTGCATATTGATACAATGAAGCTTGAGTGTTTACGAACGATAAAGTGTTTCAAAAACAGGCGACTTTGTGTACCTCTAACTGGTTGCAAAATGGCTTTTTGGAGATAAAAACCTTGCTACAGGTAGCTCTAAAAATTCTATGTGGAATAGGCTATATATCAAAAGCAAGCGCTATCCTGGAGCAGCACAAATTTCCTTTGAAATCCTGCCAGAGCAACTTCACCAATGGAGGAGATGGGAAATCAATCAAAACACTCATGGTTGTCACGTGGTAACCCAGCCCGCATTTCCTGTTGCTACGCCCCGTTTCCAATCCCTTTCATTTACTCTATTATCTATGGTGGCACAGAAGAGTCTGGTGACACTGCTACAGAATTTGTGGCACTAAGCACAGGATTGAGCATCCCAATCAGATTGCAGTACTCACGTGGAAGTAACTTTGTCACGTGACCTATTCAAAATGGCTGCAAGTATGACTGACAAACCTGCTGTAGATACGATAAATGCTAGCAAAGGAACAGAAGCTAACTGTAGAGGAAGTAAGAGAAGAATTCTCGTGTTAAACTTGGCTGAAAAGTATACGGATTTTCTGTTTTCACTCCCGCATATATTGTCCCTGAATTAACTAGAACTTTGATAGATTTCTTCTTACCTTTTACTACTGCTGCTCTATTCATTCAAGGAGGCTTACTTGTCAAGAAAAGCCTCAAAAAGAAAGTTATCATGTGACAGAATTTTTTAATAACTTTAATAACTACTAATTATTGCATTCCTTTCTGCAACAAATTCTGCGGCAGTGTCACCAGACTCTTCTGCGCCACCCCCGCGCAACGAAGAGGTGGGGCCAGACTAAGGGCTCTAGGACACTCTCCCTAATATTATGTACTCTTGATAGAACTTACCCTATCAAGATCAAAGGACTGGTTCATAACATCACATTCATAATTATATTTAACCAAGCGGCATCTTTCAATAGGAATATAAGGAGCTAATTTCATTAACTGAGAAACAAATGATGGGGAAATGAAATAAACATAAAGGGAAAATAATAGAAATACCGTATAGCTAGAATCTTTATAGCCCAAAATTTTTGCAAATTTCATAATTTATTCAAAATTTGCGAAAATAAAATCTGCAAAAATCAATTTAAAATGGCTTAACACGGCCAAAAGGCAAAAAATCATGAAAATTAAAACCACAAAATAGATTTTTGAATGAATCTGTGAAATTTTTGGGCCATGAAAATTTCTCGTTATACGGTAGATCAATTTAAATAATAAACCTTATAAGCTTTGTTCAGTACTGAGGGTAGTAATTCATCTTTATGTACATTGAGTGTTGAATCCATTAATTCACCAGTAACAGGATGATTAGAATATAATGAGAACTACAAATCAAAAGTGCATGTATGCAAAGTTGCAAACAGATCATAGTAGTGTTTTAATTGTACTATTTGTATGGCTGGTTAAATGTGCAGATAAAAATTTTTGAAATATTCCATATATTGCAATTTGATCATTCATTGCAAAGCAATGAACAGTATCCTAGCTATAGCTTCTGATAAAATTTTAGCATGATTATGCACAAACTCCACAAACTTGACTTCTCCACAAATACATGCATATTTGGATGCATACATTAATGTGTGTCTCACTTTTACTATACACATTTCTTCATTTTCCTGTTCCTTTTCTTTTTGTCTCTTGTACTCAACCTCTTTCAAATCTATTCAAATATCAATGGTGACACACATCAATAATAAAACCTTTGATATTTTTTATAATCTTCTCATTGTGTTCTTTTTCGGCAATCAGTTCCATGTTCATGAATGTTATTCTTTCCCGTAATTTCTCTATTATTCGTTTATTATCTACTAATGGCTGATAGTCTGGTCTTGTCATTGCTTTAAGATAAAACTTGCAGTCATCAATTTCAAAAGACATTCCCCTTCTCAATTTGCCAGCAGCTTTAATTAATTGATATAATTATTATTATAATTAATAAAACTACTCTAACCTGAATCAGTATTACTAGAAAGTGATCTCAAATACTCAATCTTCATTTTTGATAATTTGCCTGATGATTCTTCATTTTCTTTTTGTGTCTCATTAAATTGAGACCTCAATACAGTCAACTCTTCATGAAGTGGTTCCTCCTATTAATAATTATTATAATTAATACAAACTAGTGAGATATACCGTATAGCTGGTTTATTTCGTGTGGAATTAATTTTCGTGCAGGCTCAAATCCACTAAAATTAATTCCACTAAATTTTATTAAAACCAATTAAATATTAACAAAAATTTAGCAAGGCACTAAAATTAATTCTAATGAAAATTTAAGCAGCAAAAATTTGAGGCCACGAAATAAACCAGCTATACGGTACCTCAACTTCTTTAATTGATTGAGTATCACTTTGAACAAACAATGATTCCTCCTAATAATAAAAATATAATTAAATTTATCTAAACTAATGATCAATGCAAAGAATGCAAGATTAAACTTCTAACCTCAGTTACTTGAGCCATTGATATTTCTTGTTTCAGTTCAATTGCTTCCTATAGAAAAATTAAGATTACATTATACACAGTCTGGTAGTGACATACCTCCTCTCTGCTACTGATAGTATCTCTTAGTTTATATTCAGCTTCTTCGAGCATAATATAAGAAATAACCTGTACATACAATTAACACATTACAATCAACTGAACACATTGCTACATTGTACAGGTACTATAGTAACTAAGAATGCATGATTATATTAACTGACCTCAGGCTCAGTGTGTTGCAGTAAGTCTTGATCCTGTTCTTTTAGTTCCTATACAATACAATATTCATAAAACAATTTTCAACTATTCATATTATGTACCTTTTGTCTAACGTCCTGTCTCCTCCATAATGTTATGTTACCAATAGTCAGTTTCTTTAATCCTAGCTTGTCCCATTAGTACATGAATATTCTCTATCATCCTCAATACAGTAAATCCAACATCATGGAAAGGAAAGGAGCAAGTGACAGATATTGAATTGCTTCGTTTTATATAGTCAATCTTTAGCAATTTACCAGACACTTTTGCAAGGAGCTCCAAGATATCCTTCAATACATGTTCCTCTGGCTTCCAGTCGAAGATAAAAGTAACTGTTTCACATTCAAGATGAGGGATCGAAGCGAATCTTTCCTTTAAACAAAGACTAATGGAGAGTGACTTGCAGAATTCCTCTAACTCTGTTCTATAAGTCTTAATGTGCTCCTCAGCCTCACTGACTTTCATCTCATCCACTACACTACGAAGAAGTGCGATATTAGTCAGTGAACACTCATTTTGAATTAGATGCAATACACTAGAAATATCACGACACTTCTTAACTTTTCTACTAAGAACAGTGCCACAACAAGAAAGAAACTCTTTAATATCTTTCAGAGAGCAGCACTTCTGCTTAATAATCTTGCCAACGTTGTAAAACAGGCTTCCATAAGACATTCTTATTGAGGTAAACTTCTCAAGTAAGCCTTCTGGTACAGGAACTTGTAATTTATCAACTACAAAAGATATGTGCACTATTACTTAGCTAGTTTGTAAAAGGTGTATACCTTGAGGTGATAAAGGTTGTGAAGATGAATTACTAGCAACTGCTGCATCAGAAGGAGATGTGCCTATGAAATGAAAATAAATGTAGCAATTTATTTTGTTGATATGTTCCAGATTATGCATTACTTGGTATC